GAAAAGAAAGGTTTTCCCGGGGGGCCCTTTTTTTTTTTCGGGGGCCCTTTTTTGTGGGGCTTACGGGGGGGGGATTTTTTTGGCCCCCCCCCCAAACAAAACAGTTTTCCCCCCCCCCCCTTTTTTTCCCCTGGGGGGAAAAAGGGGGGCACCCCCTTTCCCCGGGGGGGGCCCCCCCCCCCCCCCCCCCCTTTTTTTTTTCCTTTTTCCATGCCCCCTCCGCCCCCCGGACAGGGATTTTGGGATTTGGGCCCCCCCCCCCCCCCCCCACCCCTCAGGCCGCCGATGCTGCTTCATATCCCCGCATCGGCACCGGGCAGCGGCGGCGGAGGCGGCGCGGCGATCCGGGAGCCGTACGTGTCGAGCCTGCGAGTACTCATTAACAAATCAGAAGAAGAAGACACTATAAGCCGGGAGCAGTACGTGTCGAGCCTGCGAGGAATCATTAATAACTGGTAATAACAGTTCATCACATGTCGCCCGGCCGCCCCAACGCGTCGCGCCTATGGACTAATCATTCATCACTCAGAAGAAGAAGAAGAGGAATGTAGCATCCGGCCCCCGCATGTCGAGCCTCCGAGAGAGGTACGCGTCATAGTCGCCGCTGCTCTCGTGCCCCCTAACGAACAAGAAACCCCAAAGTCAGCTTCTCCTGCGCCACCAAACCCCCGCCCACCCCGCCCACCCCGCCCACCCCTCCCCTCTCTCTCCCTCACCGCCTCGGCGGCCGGAACTGAAACAAGTCGACCGGCTGCTGCGGCGCCGCCTCGCTCCGCCCTCCTCCTCCTCCTCCTCCTCCTCCTCCCCGCTCCGGCGGCTCAAACCCGGTGGCGATGACGGTGACGATGATCTCATCGCCGAAACTGTCGTCCGACGTCGAGGCGCCTGATTCAATTAATTAGTGGGGCGTAGTGAACGAATCTAATCAGTGCCGAAACTGCCTGTCTGACGTCGAGGCGCCTGATTCAATTCATAAGGCGCGTCAATTCGGACCTGCTCGTTTAGCTTGCTGCCGTCCGGAGTCGAGGCGCCTGATTCAACTCATTAATGAGGCACTTAATTAAGGAGCTCGCGGTGCCAGCGCTGCCGACTGACGTCGAGGCGCCGAAGATGACTTGCGCGTCCTCATCCGC